AGCCTGAAATTGTTTTATATGCAGACCCCACAATGGCAGACAGCAGGGTGGCCATTTTGTATGTGAGTGTACACAGTGCTTTGATGAGATAGTCAGACTGAACAAAGAGTGTGCATGTTGCTATTCATTGAAAGTTCAATGTACTTAAATAAAGTATAAGAACATAACTAAGAAGCTGCAGTGTTTAAGCGATATCTAGTTTAATGGGTTTATCAATTCATTTTCAAATAATAATTTATGACCAGGACAAAAAGTAATTTATTAATGAACAATAATAATGAACAATTTGTTCTATTTCATACCTCAATTATTTGCTGTTTGACATCAATATATTCTATTTATACATATTTTTAATCCCTAAAACTAAAATTTGATAATAGTTATTCTGAGGATCAAACTTATTTATGTTAAGCTGAATTTTTAAAACTTATTTTGTTCTGTTACTAAACAGACTCCACAAAAAAAAAAAAAGAGAAAAAATTATTTTGAGATCGTCTCCTTTACTGTGTTTTCTTTAAAAAAAAACCCATCGTCTACTTTGTCCTACGTGTCTTCTTCAGTCTGACATAGCCTTCGAATACCGCAGAGATTCATCCAAGCAGAACATGTGGGCCAAGGTGACAGATCTGAAACTCATCTCGCGGACGACAATACAAAGTCCGCTGAGCAACTTGGTGAGCTTCATTCACTTTTGGTTGTGTTTTAAATTCAATGATCACCTTTGCAATATTCAGTTTGCCGTCAGTCCGTTGTTTGGCAGCCATTTTTTTTTTCCATCACTAAATTTAAATATATGCAGTTTATTAAATCAAAATGTTCACAAAGACTCATAAGCCCCTTTGGTTGGACTCAATGCATTTTGTGTTAAAAATTGCTGCCTTGTTTAACAAGAAAGACTGTTTTATTTTGTAAAGAAACAACGCATTTCCTTAATAGTTGATTGTTTGGGCTAAAATTTCAAACACTGCCTCCTTAACTGATTAGTTTGGTTCGGCTTGTTAGTCTTTCTCAGTTATATCTGTTGCAGTTTTTAAAAAAACCCACTGGAGTGAGAGAACTGCTTTTTAAAAAACTCAATGGCCAATTTTTCAAGGTTTTTTTCAATGACCATGAAGAAAACCCATTCTCACCTTTGAATATGTCCAACTGTTGACCAGGTGATGCTGCCCTGTACCCTGATGTTGACCCAGAACATGGACCTGGAATCGGGGGCCTCCGAGGCCGAAGCTTCCATCAGCAAAGTGGAAGTGTTTGTTTCCCCTTCCGTCACGCAACTGTTCTGGGATTTGATGGCCATGGTAAAAGGTCAAGGTGCAAAGGTCAGAAGTGTACATCAGTTTTAATAATGATGAGAAGATGCAGACATGATTCATGAAAGCTTTAGGGACTAGAATAAAAACAATTTCATGTAAATAAAGGGAAGAGAGGTTGGCCGAAATGTGCACACACACAAAATACAAACATTTTTGCATTAATGAACTCCTGGTCATTTTAAAAACTTTGAGACTAAACTTTTGACTAAGGATTATTTTTTTTTTCCAAGTAAGACCCAAATTTTCTTTGGGACTCTGCTAGTCAGCAGGACTCTGTTGGTCAGCAGGACTCTGTTGGTCAGCAGGACTCTGTTGGTCAGCAGGACTCTGTTGGTCAGCAGGACTCTGTTGGTCAGCAGGACTCTGTTAGTCAGCAGGACTCTGTTAGTCAGCAGGACTCTGTTAGTCAGCAGGACTCTGTTAGTGAGCAGAGCAGCGTAATGATATAAATACAAAAACACATGTGTCAGCATTACAATTTGAAACATTTATATTGTCTGACTTTTGATAATTATTCGCTGCAGTCAGGTCAAAAGTAGGGCCTGCAAGAAAATTTAGAGAAAGGGTTAAAAAATAATAAAATTTAAAACAGTATTTCAATTTTTTTTGCTCCCTTAGACCAAGGCAAACTCTCTGGTCAATGTGTTGGACAATGATGTTCAGAGCTTGTGGGAAGTGTCCAAAGTCACCTCAGAGAGATGGCTCAAGGACAGAGGTATGCAGAGTCCTTTCGTGTTTCTATGAAAAGAAAACTCATTTGATTTCACTTAATGCTTGTGTTTGGAAGGTGTTTGTCCCGTTTAAAGAAGATATTTGCTGCGGTTCTTGTTCAAGATCATTACAAAATTAAATCTGTATTCGTCTTTTATTTTATTTATCACCTCCATTCAACTCATTTTTTTAAGGAAACCAATTTTTTTTAAAATAAAACTTTTATCTTTTTAAGGAAACTGTCACCTCTCTCTATCTGTCATTCTCTATCTCTCCCTCCCCCCCTCTCTCTCTCTGTCATGGTCTCTCTCTCCATCCACAGGTGAAGTGAATGCCACCCCGTCCCTCCACCCCACCGCTTTACCTAAAGAGTCCTTCAAGCTGGACATCAAGATGATCAATTTGTTCTTTGAGATAGAGACACTGGACTTACACGTACCCATCCTGTGCCTGCACACCTCTGTGGAGGCCAAAATTGAGGAGTGGTCCAGGAAGGTACGAATCAATTGCACGTATATGTTAAATATTAAATCTATGTAGATATGTAATAGTATGTTGTTGTTTTTTTATTTCTTAAATTGTAATAAATTGTTATATAAATCTTCATTTTAAGATAGACTTACTTTTAATGAGAAATCAGCTTCTCAATTACTGATTTCCTTTAGTGGTTAAAAAAAAGTTAACCTATGTTTCCGTTTTTAACAAAGAATTTGATATATGTCTGTTAATAACAAAGAAGTTGTATGTTTTCTTTCAATAAAAAAGAAATTCTTTGATGTTTCTATTAATAACATAGATGATGATGTACGTTTCAAGTCTCATAGCAAGGAAGTTGATGCATATTTCTGTCAGTAACATAGAAATCATATTTTTTCCCCCTCCAAATCTTGACTAGTTACATGTTGAAGGAGAGCTCCATTTAGAGATGATGTTCTTCAATGAGAAGACTTCACTATGGGAACCACTGATTGAACCCGTCATGGAGAAAGAGGGGGTCTACAGGCCATGGGAGGTGTTGGTCAAGGTAAGGACAACTCTGCCGAAAGTGCGGGGAAAAGAAAAGAAGGGAAAGAAGAAAAAAAGGGGGTGGTGGGGTGGGTTTGTTGTTGAAAGTAGCAATAAGATTGAAAGACCTGAGGAGTTCATACAGTTCCACCTTGGTAATAAAGAGGCAGGCCATTTGTGATTTAATACCAGCATAAAGAGGTAAAAATTGGTCTCATAGTGCCAGGTGCTTTCTGTGGGTGCCGTCTCTCCTGGCTTCAGATAATGTAAAATGTGTGATTCTATACCACCCAGGGTCTTTGTTTTTATTAACCATGTGCATTTTTTGTGTGTGTGTGTGCATAGTTTGGGGTGTCACTGTTTTTTTTTTTTTTTTTTTTTTTTTTTTTTTTTTTTTAAGAGGTTAAGAAATTCTAAGTAACACATTATTTCATTTTCTGGATAAAGACTTAATGTTGATGTCTCGTGTTCAAATTGTTTGATTTATGTGCTTAAAATGTACAATGCAATCAAAAAAATTGTTCCATTTGTTTGAATCAATAAAAGAATCTTATCTTATCTTATCTTATCTTACTTAAAGCATTGTTTGATATGGGGGTAGTACAAACACTTGATCTCTTTTTCCACTCCATGTTGACAGCCGCCTTTTAACTTTGGTGGTTGATGCATTTTTACAAAGGGAGTTTACCACCTCACCAAGAGAGATTCGTTCATGTGGCTAATATTTTTTACTTCTTGGGGACACCGGTTGAATTCAAACTGGCAACCCCTTATTGTGAGGCTAGGTAAATTAGTTGTTGGTGCTGTTAGCCGCTTCCACTCCAAATGACTCTTTGCAAACCACTTCCACTCCAAATGACACTTTGAGAATCACTTCCACTCCATAAAGTCTCTTTGTAAGCCACTTCCAATCCAAATGACTCCTTATTAATATATATATATTATCTAATATTTAAATTTATACTGAGTTTCCTATCCTTAAAATGTATGACCTCGCCAGGTTGTCCGAGCCAAGAGTTTCCCCATGATCTGCATGTACGATGAAAATGACCTGACCATACCGGAGGAGCTGCAGACTGAGGTCCAACAAATGATGCATCGGTCGCGCGTCAAGTCCAGCAGCTCTGAGACGGACGACACCGATGGTGACCTCGACATGAAGGTGATCCGCCACAAGTCCTTACATCGCCTGCGCCACGGAAGTGACCGTAGTTTTGGTAAGGAAAAAGGAGGGCTGGTCTTATGCTATTTTCTTATGGAACCTCAAACCCAATGATTAATTATTCATCTTTTCCGTCTTTACCATCCCTATCTTTTCCAAATTTCTTAAAGCTGATTAAATGTTACTTTCTGGTTAAAGTTTAAAACATGAAAAGTCAGTCATATGAAAGTCGGTCATATGAAAGTCAGTCATATGAAAAGTCAATAATATGAAAAGTCAATAATATGAAAAGTGAGTCATATGAAAAGTCAGTCATGAAAAGTCAGTCATGAAAAGTCAGTCATATGAAAAGTCAGTCATATGGAAAGTCAGTCATATGGAAAGTCAGTCATATGGAAAGTCAATAATATGAAAAGTCAGTCATGAAAAGTCAGTCATGAAAAGTCAGTCATATGAAAAGTCAGTAATATGAAAAGTCAGTAATATGAAAAGTCAGTCATATGGAAAGTCAGTCATATGGAAAGTCAGTCATATGAAAAGTCAGTCATATGAAAAGTCAGTCATATGGAAAGCACAAGGAAAATTAAAAGTGTTTTACTATTAATTATTTGTATGTCTACAAAGCCGACAATAATGAAGTGCAATCTCCAAAAATTGTACTCCTTATCTCTCCATGCAGACCATTTTGCCGGTTTTTTTTTTTTCCTTTCTATATTTACATTGTTGGTGGGCTTCATGTTAAATACCAGTGTTTTAGAAACACCACCAGCCGGCTGTTATACTTTTCCTGCACTGACACACAACCACAGATTCCAGCCACCACAGCAGCGTTCAAGGAGAGTCCGACTCGGAGCCAGAGGGTTTCATCTCCAACATGACCAGCAAGCTCGGCAGCATATTCTCAAGCGACAGCAGCGATGCCGACGTCAGTGAAAATGAGGACAACGACGACGGCATCGACATGTCACTGGACAAGCCTGTTTTCCTAACCTCTCGGGGACCCGTCCACATGACGGCTGGTTGGATTTTTTTCTCCCTCTTGCCTCTTTTATGTTTTTTTTTTTTTTGATGTTGTGTGTGTGGTTGTGTATATTTTTTTGTTGGAGATTTTTTAATCGGCTTGACCAATGTGGCATCACTTAAATTTCTTGTGGTTTAGTATGGGGCTTGAGGTAGGAGAACATCACTGCTAGAAGAAAAATATTGGATTTCTCCTCTGTAGAAACATCAGATGATAAAACTAGAACTGAATATCTGTGATTATAAATATGAAACAGTAATGATGATCTTAATGCAGCGGGCTAAAAGCTTACCAACAAAGATTTGAATGAATTTATTATTTTTTTTTTTAATGGAATAAATGATAATATTGAATCTTTGATAAAATATGCTAATCAAAAACATTGCTACATTTATATTCCAAGTATTTCAAGTTTATAGTTTCAAGTAGGGCCTATACTCCAAGTTTAGCTCAGTTATTTTCACATTTAATTTTGCCTTCATAGTGTCACATTTTTGTCACACATATCTACACACTGATACATTTTCGTTTCCAAGTCTTTATGCTGTCATGTTTCCATAAATTGTGGTGCACTGACAAAGTTGAGTTTTTGCATAATATTTTGTGAGTCTGATGGATAAATTATAACAAGTTAAAATTAGCTTGCCTTGACTTTACCACACTGTTATTTGATGTTACAGTCACCAAAGTGGAATCTTCTGCTCAAAACTTTATATGCTTCAATAATTCTTGTTCGATTTTTTTACCCAATTTTTATATTATTTTTGCATGGTAAAGTGTCATTATATTTTGTGTGCCAATGTAATTGATCGTTAACTCTTTATTATACACCTATTGGGTAAAACAAACAAAACTGTAACGTTTTTTTGTACATTTATCATTTTAATAAGTTTTAAATGTTTGCATAGATTTAAATGCATTACATAAGTTAAATAATAAATTGACTTTACATTTAATGTTAACTAGTGTGACATTTTATGTGGGAAGACAAAATCAAATTTATCTTTCACCTATGATTTTATAGGGCGCTCTCCTTTTGTTGTTTAGTTCAGTAGAATATTCAGTCAGTCAATGTTGTGGTCAATGCCATTTATCTGTTGAAAATGGCATTACCTGTTGTTAGTGTCCTGGTGGCTTCCTTTTTATTTGTTTATATTGTACGTATGAATTTTGGTAGTCATGATCTTAAAATTAATTACATCAGTCCATAATTAATCAAATTAAGGAAAATCAAAATATATTTTGGACGAAAAACGTTTTGATAAAATGCGTATTTCTTTCTACGTTAGATTTTTAAATTACACCCATAGGCTTAAGTTTATATCTGTTAACTTATGTTTATATCCATAGGCTTAAGTTTTTATCTATAGACTTACGTTTGCAATAGGCTTAAATACACTGGATTATATCCATAGACTTAAGGTTTCATTCATAGACCTATTGATGATATCCACAGACTTATTAATTATATCCATAAACTTTTCAGAATTGGCGTTAATTCTCTGATTATATCCACAGACATTTAGGTTATTTCCATAGATTAGATATAACTTTACTTTTCTTTACATCACCAGGATCTGCTCTGGGCTTTGATGAAATTGACGCTGCACATGCTGGGGAAGACGAAGGGGGTGAAGAGGTGCACAAGTGCATGTACGTCATGGTGGAGTCTGTGGACAGGCTGCAGCTGAATGTGACACCCCAGTCTATCGAAGTGCTCAAAGATGTTGTACAGGTGGGTTAATTAATTAACAGCTAGTCAGGCTTTGTGGTACCGATGGGTTAATTAATTAACAGCTAGTCAGGCACTGTGGTACAGGTGAGTTTATTAATTAACATCTAGTCAGGCACTATGGTACAGGTGAGTTTATTAACAGCTAGTCAGGCTTTGTGGTACAGGTGAGTTTATTAATTAACAGCTAGTCAGGAACTATGGTACAGGTGGGTTAATTAATTAACAGATAGTCAGGAACTGTGGTACAGGTGGGTTAATTAATTAATAGCTAGCCAGGCACTGTGGTACAGGTGAGTTTATTAATTAACAGCTAGTCAGGCACTGTGGTACAGATGGGTTAATTAATTAACAGCTAGTCAGGAACTGTGGTACAGGTGGGTTAATTAATTAACAGCTAGTCAGGCACTGTGGTACAGGTGGGTTAATTAATTAACAGCTAGTCAGGCACTGTGGTACAGATGGGTTAATTAATTAACAGCTAGTCAGGAACTGTGGTACAGGTGAGTTAATTAATTAACAGCTAGTCAGGCACTGTGGTACCGGTGGGTTTATTAATTAACAGCTAGTCAGGCACTGTGGTACCGGTGGGTTAATTAATTAACAGCTAGTCAGGAACTGTGGTACAGGTGAGTTGATATTTCATACCAACATTATGAACACTGCTTAATTCAAAGTTCACTCATATAATTATTTTTTTTTATTAGAAATAGTGCTCATTTGCTGACTCCACCGTTTATTATTGTTATATTTAACTCTATAATCACTGATGGAGCCGTCCATTGTTGTTATTCCTCACATGCAATCTAACACAAGCCTTGCTTCTGTCCAGGCACTCACGAACCCCAACAAGTCTGCACTGCAGTCTGTTAGAACCATGCCAAGGTTTAAAGTCAACAATGAGGTAGGTGGATGGGATCAACCGAAAGCGTCTCACAAAATTTTTTAGAGATCCAGTTTTTTTCCTATTCTTTTCATTTGCAACAAATATTTTTTTTTATAAACAATGCCAAAGTCTTGCTTTTAACTCCTGTACAAATCTTCTCTATAATAAGCATAGAAAGTTTCTGGAAAAAATATGATTCATTAAAAAAACAAAAAAACACTTGTATCATATGCACCTGCCTTGGCCAATTAGGTTGCCGAAATTGAGTAAAAATTTGTGCATATTATACGGAAGATTTTATGGTATTCTGGCTTACTTATTATGTCAACCCACTTCACCACATTAAAACACTCACAAACTTTTTTAACTAAAAATAGCTTAAAGCTATATTATCTATTTGATTTAATTAATAATTATTTTTTTTTTTTTAGCTTGGACTTCATGCTTACATCACATGTCATCCCAAAATTAAGGTGAGAAAAATCATTTTTCATTTTACACATGATTTTTTCCTGCATTTCCAAGTACCCATGAGAGTATTATTATATGTGGTACATACAAAGGGCAGTGTGAATTCTTTCTTTATTTTTTCAGTTCATAATAATAATGTCCACCTGACTAATAAAATGAGTTGTTGTCATGGCCTATCTGTGCCAAAATTTGGACTGTCTACTAACAATCAGCCAATGTCATCTACTCACAGATCCACAAGGATCACATAAAGAATGCCACAATTTACCACACTGGACAAGATGACAACATCATACATCCAGTGGATTACGAGAACGACATTGATACCATTGATGGGGTTGATAACAGATCAGACAGAAGGCAAGGAGTTCGCCTTTCATTTCTTACATTATCATGGCTTTTATTTCCACTGCAATTTTTAAAAAAATCATTTTAACTCATTCTTCACTGCATCCGGGTTTCCTTATTAAACATACCAACACACCTTCCAACACAATTAAAATACAGCTACAACACACCTACCAACACACCTACAACACACCCACCAACACACTTAAAATACAGCTACCAACACACCTACAACACACCTAAAATACAGCTACCAACACACCTACCAACACACCTACAACACACCCACCAACACCTAAAATACAGCTAACAACACACCTACCAAAACACCTACAACACACCCACCAACACACTACAACACACCCACCAACACACCTAAAATACACCTACCAACACACCTACAACACACCCACCAACACACCTAAAATACAGCTTCCAACAAACCTAAAATACAGCTACCAACACACCTACCAACACACCTAAAATACAGGTACCAACACACCTACCAACACACCTACCAACACACCTAAAATACAGCTACCAACACACCTAAAATACAGCTACCAACACACCTACCAACACACCTAAAATACAGCTACCAACACACCTACCAACACACTTACCAACACACCTAAAATACAGCTACCAACACACCTATCAACACACCTAAAATACAGCTACAAACACACCTACCAACACACCTAAAATACAGCTACCAACACACCTACCAACACACCTAAAATACAGCTACCAACACACCTAAAATATGCCTACCAACACACCTAAAATACGCCTACCAACACACCTTCTTCTTCTAATATATTTGAGGGCCCAGGATCAATGAATTGATCATTCTGGCTCCTACGTTTCAGAGGGGTTTGCGATGTTACTGTGCATGGTTTGCATGAGGATACTTCACTGGTTGCAAGGGCTACTCAGCAGTGGTGTTACGAACTGGGGGTTGGATTACAGGGGGCAATAAAAACAAATGCATCAAGTGTAGTCGCCCCAACTGTTGCTTTTGGAAGCTTGTTCCAGTCCCTTATTGTCTTTGGCAGGACTGAGGAGCTCTTGTACTGAGTTCTTGTTTTTATTAGCCGGAACTGTCTTTCGTGGCCTCTAGGGGTGAGATGGACGAGCTTCTGTTTAATGTTGTAGCAGTGGACCAGCCCATTTTTTATCTTGTACAACATGGAGAGCCTGGACAGTCGTCAGCACTCTTCCAATGTAGACCAGTCCAGTCTTTCCAGCATTCTGCCAACACACCTCAAGTACAGCTACCAGCACACTTACATGCACAGCTACCAACACACCTAAAGCACAGCTACCAGCACACTTACATGCACAGCTACCAACACACCTAAAGCACAGCTACCAGCACACTTACATGCACAGCTACCAACACACCTAAAGCACAGCTACCAGCACACTTACATGCACAGCTACCAACACACCTAAAGCACAGCTACCAGCACACTTACATGCACAGCTACCAACACACCTAAAGCACAGCTACCAGCACACTTACATGCATACCTACCAGCACACTTACATGCACAGCTACCAGCACACTTACATGCACAGCTACCAACACACCTAAAGCACAGCTACCAGCACACTTACATGCACACCTACCAACACACCTAAAGCACAGCTACCAGCACACTTACATGCACACCTACCAACACACCTAAAGCACAGCTACCAGCACACTTACATGCACAGCTACCAACACACCTAAAGCACACCTACCAACACACCTAAAGCACAGCTACTAACAAGTGAATAGATAAAAAAAGATGAAACAAAATAAAAGTCTCTGGGGAGCTTTGTTTATGATTTTCAGTGAATTGATAAGAACAGAACCTGGCAAGAGGGAGGGGGGAGCTTTGTTTATGATTTTCAGTGAATTGATAAGAACAGAACCTGGCAAGAGGGGGGGGGGGAGGTGTATTTATGATTTTCAGTGAATTGATAAGAACAGAACCTGGCAAGAGGGAGGGGGGGAGCTTTGTTTATGATTTTCAGTGAATTGATAAGAACAGAACCTGGCAAGAGGGGGGGGGGGGGAGCTTTGTTTATGATTTTCAGTGAATTGATAAGAACAGAACCTGGCAAGAGGGAGGGGGGGAGCTTTGTTTATGATTTTCAGTGAATTGATAAGAACAGAACCTGGCAAGAGGGAGGGGGGGAGCTTTGTTTATGATTTTCAGTGAATTGATAAGAACAGAACCTTGCAAGAGGGAGGGGGGGGAGGGGTAGTGGCTTAGGAGGGAGTGGCTTAACAGTATGATTAGATTAAAACCCCCTTTTTTTCCTACAGCTCTACAACTGGCTGTTCTGTAGCAAACATGCTGGCTAAAGCCGGCCACACCCTGGTCAGTGCTGGGGCTTTTGTGTTTGACGATGATGATGACTACCTGTCGGGCAAGCAGGTTGACTATCACAGGCTCAAGCTGCAGGTAGAAAAACCCAAACTCTCATGGATTGATTCTCAAATTTGTTGTCCCTGAGAAAAACTTTTTAGTTTTGTTTTTTTTATTTAAATTTTGGCAAATAAATCGGCATCTCCTTACACTACCCAACCCCTCAAAGCAAAAGACCTACCCCCAGTTAACATACAAATATATTCATATTAAAAAATACTTAGTAATTGAATTCAAACTTAGTGTGTATTTAAAATCAAATGAAAAACTGATATTTCACATTTTTAAAAAATTCGTATTCATTGTTCCTTTGGAAGTGTTAAACAATTTCCCTTTAATATCTTTTGTAATTGAGATACCTTACACTAGAGACTTGGGGTCGTGTGGTGCTCTTTAAATATATATATTATATTAAATAAAATTGTTTATGAAATTTTGTATTTGATGACTTGATTAAGACCTGTTTTGTTTGTTCTTGACAGGTCGAAGGATTCGAACAAACTCCTTCTATTCTACACAAGCGCGCTTGTAGAAGACTGATCCCGCTCACCCCTATCAAAGTAAGTCATGTTTAATTCAGAGGCTGCCTAACTTTGAATGCAGTCATTCATCAACACTAGTTTTATCATTACTTGGTACGTGTATTTTTAAGTAACCACAAACCTCTTCTTGAATAGAAACTTGCTACTCTAGAAAAAAAAATTCATTACGATTCCGACCATGGAATAGATATTTTCAAAACTTGGACAAATTTAAGATTTAAATTAATATTTGTAAGCTGTACATTCTTGATATGCATTTTAAGAATTGATAATTTCAAAACTTGGACAAATTTAAGATTTAAATTAATATTTGTAAGCTGTACATTCTTGATATGCATTTTAAGAAGAAAAGATTACTTTGCTATAAAGTACATACCCCTCTGACTATCATATTTTGCTGTTTGATTTTCTAAATCTATTGCTTTGACCAAATTGCTCAAGTGGATGGGGAAATAAAAGGGGGAGTTGGGAGGGGCACCTCTTTCACTTAACCATCACTTTTCCTCCTCCGTTGTGTCATTGACTCGTTTCTATTTCTTTGTGACTAGTCTGATGAGGTTGAACTTGAGGTTTGTACAAGAGTTTTCAGTGTTTTTGTGTTTTCACATTGTTATTAATACCTGATCATTTACTGCTGTCTGTGCTGTGCATTGCTGTTAATGTATTCATTCCTTGACAAGGCTGTCCAGGGCCGGCCTTAGGCCACTGCAACCCATGCGGCCGCAGTGGGCCCCTCACTTTCATAAGCCCCACTTTCTAATACAAAATTTTAATTTTCACTTATTATCCTTATTTATTTATTTATTTAGGCATTTTTATATAGCGCTTACCTTAAAGCTCTAAGCGCTTTACAATTATTAAAAACATGAAAACTAAGTAAAATAAAAATGAGACACTAGGATAGTAACTACTATACTATAGAAACAATTAAAATGGCTATAAAACGAGGACACTTTATCCCTACCCAGACTGGGCCCCATGCAATCCGTTTTGCATAGGGCCCCGCAATTGTTAGGGCCGGCCCTGAGGCTGTCCATCTATTATGTATTTATGTTAAGGCACTAGAGATTTCAACATTTTCTTTTATTTTTTTTTTAAATATTATGTAGATCTTTATTATAGATTGGTGTGATTGCATTTTAACTATTTTTTTTTTATAATACCTATTCAAATGGATTTTAAAAAGTGCAAAGAATAGTGACATGAAGTTTTCACAGAATTTACTTTTATTCAAGAAAAAAAAAAAAAATTAAATTTATTTAAAACAAGCCCCCCCCCCCCCCCTTATTTTTGATCCACTCTTTAAAGACACTACATTATTTTCTTTGCAGTTTTGGCAATGTCCATAATGATAGCTAAAGCTTTTTATATTGTATATTGTTCTCCTTTGTACTAAAGAATGTGATGAGCATCAGCGGGTTCAGTGTTGTGATTGTCTTAGACTTTACTTTTACCAACAAACAAAAAAAAAAAGAGATCGATAGCACTTTTAAGTTTTCAATTAGTAATTTACTTTATTTTGTATAGACGTTTAAACATTTCACAAAATTTTTAATTTGTAAATTTTTTCTTGAGATCAGGGCGTCAAATGAGTAGATCTAAACATTCTCTGGTTGTGTAAAAGGTGTTAACGTTTTTGTGTCTAGCTTCTGCAGCATTTGCTAATGTTGCTCTGTTTCAGTCAGACGGCCATCTTGCATACTCAAAATGAGCAGCTGAGCTTTATATATGTGTATATAATTTTTTTTCTACATTCTTTTATGATCCCATGTAAAGTTGTTGTGTTTTAATTCCTTGAATATTCTTTTGAAATTATTTAACCAAAATTTTACTTCATTTCATTCATATTTAAAAAAAATTTTAGTCACTAAAAACATAGGTAAATTATTAAGATTTTAACATTTTAATTTCTTTTTCCACTCAGATTGTTAAAAAATTAAAAAAAACGTTGTATTCATTTTGGGCATTTATAATTTTTTCAAATGTCCTCTCCTGAGATAAAATTCCCTTCAAATATGTATCTATTAATGAATGATTACGATGATAGAATTTCATTATTTATGTTTGCTGAGCTCATCAACTGCGATGGTCATAGCTCTTCGCATATTTTCATCATCACGTTTCAGAATGGTATGAAATACTGTGCAGTCATGGAGGTGGATACCTGGCATGGGAGTAAGACAGTCAGGCTGTACTCTCCACTGAAGGTATGAGGACATTTCAATCTTTTCATGGACATTATTTTATAGTTATTACGCTCTGTCAGCCTAACACAATCATTACATCAGAAAGTTGTGCATGACATTCATTATTAAAATAAGTGGAAAGCATTTAAGAATTGTACACTCCCAGCTAGAGAAAGTAATGCTTGTTAATTTAATCTTTGAAGAATGTTGTGTTCAGGAAGTTTCAGTATGTTTGTGTGAGTGTACATTAATTAAAAATGTATAATTCCACTATTTCCATATGTTTTTCTCTTAAAAAAAAAAAAAAAAAGTCTACATTGAAAGTTTAGCTTGAGTACTATAGACACAAAGGATAGCCGATGCTATGTAATATTTCAGCTTGAGAACCATCTAACCATGAGGATTGATGTGTACTGTAAGACAGAGGATCTCAAAAGGTTCAAGGCCACTCGGGAATTGGCAGGCACCGACACCTTCTCCAAACTGGCCACTGTCAAGTCTGGGGACACGTTCTACTTGCCCCTTTTTGTTGCCTATCATTGCCCGCTCTACATCAAGCCTTCAGAAATTCAGTAAGTTTTTACATAGATTATCAATCCGTAATAGACAAAAGACACAATGTGACACAAATTCAAAGAAGATTACCGGCTAATGTGTAAAGGGATTTTTTTTAAATACAAATACAGCAATTTTACTCATATTTTTATTTTTTGATTTAAAGACACTAATTAGTGTCTTACATAAAGTTATTCATCACAGGTCATCATCATCCTCATCCAGCAGTCAATGGGGAATGTGTACTTTTTTTGGGGGGGCTTGTGTCTTTTGTTAGGGCATGTGTCCTTTGTCCGGGATTGTGTCCATTGTTTGGGCATATGTCCTTTGCCCATGGTAAAAAATCTGCATGTCTAAATCATACTATTTGCATCCATTCATTTTTATATCACTTTCTCGGCTGATTAGATAGGCAGCCAAACTAAACAAAAATGAAGAGTAAAAACAGAGTGGTCATTAGGTATTTACAAACGATGAGCATTACTATCTACATTGGTCTACAACTACTTTGAAATGTGAATTCTTATACATGTCATAATTTCTTTCTAAGCTCTCATTTGTCTTTTGATACACCTATGGCGCGAGATCACCGACAATTCTGTTTCATGTACTAGCTGCTTTAGGCAAAAATCTGAAACTTTAGAAGGTGGGGAAGGTATCTTACAAAACACTGCTCATCTTGATTATTCAACTTGGCATAAATGAGGGTAATGACTTATTAAGTCATTATTATTGAGTTCATTCATTGATGGCTGATTTCTACGCTAGAGAAATACTTAAGATATCTTGTGTTTAAATTGTTATTATTGAAAAATGTTGCCTTAAAATATGTCTTTATTTATGTGCTGAAAATGAATATGTACATTGTAATCAAAAAAACATTTCCGTTTATTTGATCAATTAAAGAATCCTCTGACCCTCTGACATGGCATCCTCATGTGGCCTGAAATCCACACCCCCAAACTGCAGTTTTAAGTTGAAAAAAATATATAATAAAATTGAATGTCTTTCCCCTACCAGCTATGAGCTGACCCACAATCCTCTGTGGTGGCAGGAAATGTTGCAGGGAAAAGATAGAGTGAAGAACTTCATGTGTCAGTCCTCTCAAGAAGAAAAGTCCTTTAACTTTAAGGTACGCTTTTCTGAACCGCCTCTTTGAACATCATGACAGCAGGTCAGTTTGGGACAAGAGAAGTGGCTTTTTAAATATGGAAACCTGAAGGAAAAAAAATATAACTAAGGCCCATACAAAAAAAATTAAATAAATACAGTGCACAAATAATGTATTAAATTCATGTGTGCAGTGTCATATATTTAAAAACCTTTAGCTGCACTCATTCCACCACCACTCATTCCACCACCACTCATTCCGCCACCACTCATTCCTCCACCACTCATTGCACCACCACTCATTCCACCACCACTGACTTTGTACCATATGGCTATCCATGTAACCAGTGTTTGCTTTTAAAAGATGAAGTCTTAACGGAATAAGCCAGGGTCAAGTTATTTTTATTCATGACAGACCTTATGGTTGATGGGTGCAAGCGCAAAATGGCAAATGGCTTATGTATTGCATGATCACTACCATATCACAATTTCTAATCCTTGGATACCAGATTATACATTTTATGATTATTACCATAGCACCATTTCTAAATTCTAAATGGTGGATGCCAGATTGTACATTTTATGATTATTTCCATAGCACCATTTCTAGTTGGTGGATACCAGATCATACTTTTTTTTTAGATGTAAGGGCACTTTCAATACTCCTTCATGTTTGAACAATGAACTAAGATTGTGTCATAACCAATAACAGGCTGTATGCAAGGAGGGAGATGGTCTCAAACCTCATCCAATTGCCCTGAGGAACCTGCCCTACTTTACCATCAGCTTGTATGCACCAGTTGTGTTACACAACTATCTGCCCTATGACATACAGTTTTCACTTCAGGTAAATTGAGAGTCTCAATTTTAATTATGGATTCTATATTTTTTCCCCTTTATTTATTTTTTTTTTGGTCATTTAACTTTTACAGCACCGGGCGCGTCTTTTTGCAGTGACCTACTTTTTTCCCTGTGACCCAAGCGTGACTATTTGCCACAAGGACATAATCTTTCACCAAAGTCTTGGGCAGAATGTTTATTCATAAAGGAATTTTCGAATTTTATTTTGCTTTTTAAATTGTGAAAATTGACCAAATACTGAGTTTTTTGTGCCGATCTGTGTTTGTTGTCATCAACGGCAACGTCTCCACAAATTAGAATCAAGACACTTTAAAAAATTGTATCCTCTTTAAACCAATTTGTGCATAGGGCTAGAGAAGCAACGTTTACAAAGTTCCTTACAAAGTTCCTTAGTCATGTTGGCCGAGTGGCAGTGCTCGACTGCCGTGCTAAAGTGCCCAGGTTCAAATCCTGATCAAGGCCAGGATTTGTTCCTGGGTCTTTACACTGTCCCAAAGTCTACCCAGCCGTGACTATAGTCAGGGCAAAGTCAAAGCGGCCGGGCACTGTGCTGGCCACACAATCCCCTAGTGTTCCATTGCCAATTAGAAGTGTGAACAATACACATTAGTATTTTTAACACCCTTATCCATATGAACAGATAATGCTCTACATGTTATGATCAATTGCTTAAAACAAAGAAGTTACAAAATAATTTGCAAACCTATCAAATTTTGGCTCATTCCAAAATAATGTCTTGGCGACAGGGAATAATTAGTAAAATAATAGCCGGTACTGAGGCTAAACATAGCAAAAAAAGTTGGTCAGTACTAGAAAGGTTAATATTTTTCATCCCAAATTCAAAAGTAAATTAACTTTTTCTTCTAACTTAAATATTTTTAAAAAATTTATATTTTTGATGGGGTTTTTTCCCCCCCCCCCACAACTTAGACGTTTAATTTATATCTTAGGGTACAACAATGTCCAGCAGCCTGACCCATGGGGAGATGACACCACTGTACACAGTGGAGACTCACAAGTCTTATAAACTGCTGATCACTGTGAGTTATATTTTATTTTGGTCAAATCTTGCTGTGTTCTAGCTTGTCTCACCTACCAGTTTGCAAGCACTAAGGTTCCTAATAATCTAGTCCACAATTTTTTAACTATCTGAATTATAATCCTGGAAGAATCACAATCTTTTTTTTTTTTTTTTAGAAACACCAGCCGGACACTAACGTTAAATTTAAAAGGGTGTTGAGACACCATGTTATAAATACATTTATTTTTAATGGCTCAACTAAACAATAAATGAGTGTTTCCAACATGGTGTGTTCCAGTTGCCAGACTACATGGGCTCTGACTGGGCGGGTGTCCTGGAGATATCCCCCTCCATGGAGGAGTTCAGAGCCATTGCCATGGAAACAGAGATCGACTCGGAGAACGTCAACAGACATTTGAGCCTCAGCATCCACGCCGACCAATCGCAGTCGTTAGATCTGCGGATCTACACACCCTACTGGATAGTCAATAAAACAGATCTTCCACTGCAGTTGAGGGTAAGTGTGGCTTCTGCTGCTGGGATAAAGGATTGGTTTCAAAGTGTTTCATAAGTATTTGCTGAGTTCAGAATAACTTTTAAAAATGTCAATTATTCAAAATAGAATTTTTATCCACTGAAGATTTGTTCAGTGATACAGGGAATGATTTTTTTTCAATATTTTCATCGTCGAAAATGTTTCCTTGAAAGGAAAATTTTTGTACGTCATAATTTTCTTAAAAGCGGGTTATAATGGTGGTAAACTGGTATATAACATTGCTGAACATTGAACTGGACACAGTCCTTTGTTTCTGTATGACATAAAATTTGTAAAGTTGGCCAAAAATCAAGAAAAACTGACATGGATGGTGTTTATATTTTTTGTCTTCTTCTTTTAAAAAAAAACGTACAGATTGGCTGTTTTAAAATTTATTTTTTGTTTTCTTCAAAAAGCAGGGTTCCTTGTCAGACGCCGTCTATGAGTTTGGAAACTCCCCAAATCCACTCCTCTTCAGGTTCAAGAAGCATAAAAGGAAAAAAGTAGGATTTAAAAAGAATCCGGTCGAAGTTGGCAATTGCTTATAAAAACTATTATTTGGTTTACAAATGATTTTCTAAAGGAATTCATGAAAATTTGATAAAATGTTTTGAGAAATTTGTGTCTATTTGCTAACCAGTTAACAGGTGGCTTGTTTTTTTTTTCAGTTTGAAAAAATTTTTGTTTTTCCTCAGGCAAAGCTTCGAGTGTACGAGTCCCGCTGGTCACAGTCTTTCTCCACAGACACAGTTGGTAGTGGCGGTGTAGTTATCTGCAATGATAAAGAGAGGGGCAAAAAATACATGGCACGTTTTATTGGCTTGTTATTTTTAAATTTTTTTATTTAGGCCATGCTTGTAACTAGAATTGAGACTTTTTTCTTAAAAGGTGCAGATTTTAAGTACGTTTCATTGAGAATTATGTTAAGAAATGGTTGTAGAGCATCTATGCAAATGGCTGTTTTCATTCTAACAAGTGTAAACAAATTTTTTTTTCATTTTATAATCTTGTGTTGCAGTTTCTGGTTCAAATTGCCCTGTCCAAGTTACGTCTGACCAAAATAGTGACCATCATGCCCTTCTTCCTGGTCATTAACAGTTCCAGACAGAAGCTCAGGTACATGGAGGAGAATGAGAAGGCTGATTTGTGGATTGATATAGAACCTGATCAGGTAAGTTTGTACAACTAGACACACACCCCACCACCCACATAGATCAGGTAATTTCTCTTCTGATATTAGATAAGTTAACTTCAACTAGACAGTCCCATAGTTCAGGTAATTTCTCTTGAGATATTAGATAAGTTAACTTCAACTAGACAGACCCATAGATCAGGTAATTTCTCTTCTGATATTAGGTAAGTTAACTTCAACTAGACAGACCCATAGTTCAGGTAATTTCTCTTCCTGTATTTAGGTAAGTTAACTTCAACTAGACAGTCATGGTTGAGGTAAGAAGTTAAACTAGATAGTTGGTCATGATCAAGTATCATTTGAGATTAAAATTCCAAAATGTATTTAACTTTATTTTATTTTGATATAGTATGTGACTGCATTGGTCAATTTTTTCAGATGTAACCAGTATCTCATTAAATTTCAATATATTTTCAATCTAAAATAATGCAGTTCAGGATCATACATTTGGTCATATCATTAAGTCTTCAACAATAATTTTCACTTCATCCACAAAATCCAATATTATAAACTGTTCAACTAAATCAGCGGGGGTCAAGTATTTTCCCCAATTCATTTATTTCTGTCAAATAACGTATTCACATTTTAGAATACATTATTTCTGAAGCTCATAGTTTATGGATCGACATAGAACCTGGTCAGGTAAGTTTGTACAACCACACAGTCTCATTTCTTATTATCTCCCTTTCTCTCTCAGTACCAGTCATTCTGGCCAGTGACTGAATCATTCAATATGTATGTCAAGTTTGATGGTAGCAATGTGTCATCCCTACACTTCCCTATCAAGTCTTGCCATAACACAGTGCTCAGGATGGACCAGGGGGTAATCATTATTTTTTATTACCTTACGTACTTTGTTTACTGATGAAGAAAAAAAATCATTTCATAACAAAGTAATCCAGGATGGACCAGGAAGTAATCATTATTTTTTATTCCCTGATGTACTCTGTTAACTGATGAACCAGGGGGTAATTATTATTTTTATTACCTTATGTACTAAGTTTACTGATGAAGAAAAAAATAATTTTTAAAAATATTATTATGTCAACCATCTTTAGATGAGCATGACGTCTCTAGTCTAAACATATCGCTAAATACGGTCAATATTATTTTAGGATATTGTCCACAAAAAATATATAATTTTACTTGTTCCATTAACTTAAGTAAATGGTGATTTATTATTAGTTATAATAAACAGACCCATAGATAAAACAGTAAAAAAATATTTATACAATTGAAAGTTTGAGAGTTTTTCTTGTGCGGAACTCGCTCTTACTTGTGATGTCCATTTAAATATAATTTTACAGACTTGGACACATGACAAATTAATTTCTTTTAGCAAGGATAATATTTTTTTGTACTCTCTCCGCAAGTTAATTGTTCAAAAACCAATTTGTGTACAGAGAGCCCTGTGCGTAGAGGTAACAGGAGGGACCGACACGCCCATCACAATCATATTCACCAACTATGAGCGAGGCGACACCCCAGTCAGAGTGGAGAATTTGTGCGAAGATGTCTTCATCAAGATACATCAAAAGTAAAACATCTAATGCTGTGTTGTTTTTTTTGTTGTTTTTTGTGTGCTTGTTTCTTCATTGCTAAATAACAAAAAATAATATTGTCTCTTGTCAAATGGGAAACAAGTTTGAATGATCAGCTGGTAGTTACCTGTACCACTGTGTTAAAATTGACGATGACAGGGATTTGACACACATTTTTTGAAAATATTTTTTTTTCAAATTTCCTCCCAAAAACTTGAAATGTGAGTTTTTCACAACATAATAATTAACAAAATTAATTATAAAGATCGCTTCAGCTATTTTTCCCCTTCAAGTTACTTGTTATATTTCTTACGTGCAACCTCTTATCTGTAAAAGAACTAATGAGATTGTATTTTTAAAATTTAACTGTTCAAAATTCTTGACGATAAGGAACCAAAGTCAGGTGACCCTGCTGTCGCCCAATCAGAGCATTCTGTACACTTGGGACGAACCATCAGCTGAGAGGACACTCATGTGGAATGTCTACAGTAGGAAAAAGCCAAGTTTCCCAGCATTCATCACAAAGGTAAATATAAGAGTTCATAGTGGAGTTTAATAATGTTAATTTCTTATATAATTTTTTTTTTAAAAATTTAAAAAATTGTTCTAAAATATAAATGTGTCGATGGTGTAGACTTCCTAAGATAAAATCACAAAGCCTGGGATTTTTCTTTAGGAGGATAAGCTGATTCCCTAGACAGCAAATCACCTCTCTCCACGCATCTGGATAAACCAAAGGGAACATCAAGTGTCGGTGACACAGCTTGGCACCAGTAGTGTCGCAGGAGTTGCCAGAATTTTCATTGTGTCTGTATGTCATACCATCCTCGGGGTTTGAATTCAGAGTTTTCTCCTCTTAGATGAGTTGCCATCCCAGATCAATGAGTCCCATCCACCCGGGGTGCCGGTGGTGTTTTTCCTTGTCCGGGCTTTTGCTGGGGATTGAACTCCAATCCACAAGTTTGGGGTTTACTCAGTTCAGTTACCGCTCAGCCACACGTACAAATTATATCACAGCAAAAAGAAGTTTTACCAGAGAAAAAACTTGTGTAGCTTGTTGCATATGGATTAGTTCAAACGTCAAATTCTCATCTTAAACAAAAAATGAATGTCTGTTTTGTCAAACCAGGATGGTTCAGGGGAAGTCAGGCTGAGTGTGGCATCACTAAGGAATACGGGTAACTCAGGGGTGGACTTTACAGACGCAAGAGAAACTGATGACAGCAGTAGTCCAGAAGGTAATGTGCCATGAAACGGTGACTTAACGAATGACTGGTAATTAAACTAAGTTAAAGGAAGTGCCTTGCTCCAGTTTGAAAGTGTTACTGCCCTTGCTTTCAGAGTTCTCTTATACAATGCAGTGGCTTGGTCTTTTTTTACATTTTGTGTGGGGTGTCTTTTAACAAAATTTTGTATGTGTCTCAGGTTTATAGCCATTTCATAAGTAAATAAATATGTAATGTATTTTCGCGCTTATAAGACGCAGATTTTGACAATTTGTGTACAAAATATTTTATGTAAGACACGGGTTTTGACAATTTGTGTAAGCAAAAATTACATAAGACGCACGTGGCCTAGCCATCTAGGCCATAAACAAAACCATTTAAACATACTATAATATGTACATTTAAAACATTTACACCGACTAAAGTTAGATCTGCAATAATTACGGTATACAAAACTGTAACAAAGGGATTTTAAATTTGAAGTGGCCTGCATTGGACTGGTGCACAGGGTCATTACTGAACAACTACCCATTTGTTTTTACAACTAGGGATGAACCTCGTGAAACATGAATATCGACCGCAATAATGGTCCTTCATTTTCACACACACTGTACAGTTCGTTCGCGTTTAAAAAAATACTTACCATATTTTCTCGCATATAAGACACCTAATTTTAAGACGCACCCCTATTTAAGATGCGGGTTTTGAGGATTTGTGTAAAAAATACCTTGCATAAGACACACCCATTTATATATATATGTAAAACTTTCTATAAGATGCGTCTTATGTATGTGAAAATATGGTAACTACATTGCTGTAAAAAAACTATCATTCTATAGATGAGAGCGATGAGACTGACGCCTTGATTGCCCCCAATGACCGTTCACAGCTAGGACACACTCGGGTGGACAAGCTGGTGGTCTTCTGGGTCTCCTATCTGGACGGCATGCAGCGGGTTCTGCTTTTCACCCAGGACGAGAGGGTCTCTAAAGCTGTTCGCAAGGTAGGGCACACAGCACATGCCTGCTGAGATGGGATTTGTTAGATTTACTTATTTATGTCTCCTACAACGTTTGCTGCAATGTATCTTCAACGTAATCTGCTTAGTTTATTTATTTGTTTGTTCTCTTTGTCCAATGATCTGCTCCAGTGGTTCTCAACCTTGTCCCTGATTGCAGATCCATTGAAGCTGATAATAAGCCTCTACAGCAAACCAAATCCCGCCCCCCCCCCCCCCCCCCCCCCCCCCCCCCCCCCCCCAAAACAACAACAAGAAAACACATAAATTAGAAAACAAAATAATTTGAAGTTAAATGATAAATTAGTTTGAGGACCTTGCAGGATGACCCTTTTGGGGAACACTGATGTACAGGAATCATATAATTTTAATGTGTATGAACTGAAGTAAATGCCTGCTTATTCTTCTTAAATTTACCCCCAAAATTTTATATGGTCCTGCATTTAGAATTGGCTGACTGTGTTAGATGGACTAGTAGTGGTAAAAAAAACGTATTGAGAGATATGATATTGGTGTGGTGGCGCTCACCTGTAGTGGATGTCTGTAGTACTTGAGATGATGTACCATTGCATGACTTGTACTATGTTAGTTTTTTGTGCTGCTAGTACTGGACAATACCTAATGGATGCCGACAACATTAGATGTGATGTCAGTTGAATAAGTCAACTATGGAAATAAACAATTTACAAATAGTGGATTTTTTAAAAAAAATTTTGAATGCTGAATTTATATGGATTTTTTTTTTTTTTAAATCATTAGAAAGATTTGTTGATATATTCTTAGTGTCCAACCTCAAGTCCCATGCACAACATCTTTTTTTTAAAAACCGATATCTACAAGATTCTATTTTCAAAACCTTGCTTTACCGCCTGAATCTGCAGCTTACAAGTCCCTGCTTGTGTGAAACAACAGCTTTCATGGAAATAAAAAAAATCTACTCAATTTAATTTGCAGTATTTGCTTTGTTGCAGATTAAAATTTGTGTTAAGTACAAAATTTCAAAAACATTTTATAAAATGGTAATTTTATTGCTAATGTGCATAATACCTTTATTGAACAACTCACTTTCCCATGGCTGAAACTCAAGAGAAATATGTGTATTTTTATTTTTGAAGAAATCATTTTTCTCAACTAATCATTTTACAATCATTTTTATTTTCTAAATTAGACATAGACGTTAAATGTTTCATCTAGAGAAATTTCATCTGATATTCTTTATAAGATCCTTGGACCATCTCTTATAAAATGCTGGACATAAATTAAATCGTAAAAACATTTAACATTTCATTTTCATTTTCTAACAACATCAAATAAGTTATTTTATTTACTAACACATGTTTAAATTTCTATGTTTTTTAAATTAAACTTTAAACCAAATGTTTTTTTTTTTACTAACATTTTAATACTTTGAAAAAAATGTAGCTGAAAAGTAAGTATACACATACCTAACATTACTTAATGTAACATCTAATGCAATGGTTCTCAGTATCTATTACAATCCACCCAACCGCTGAAGAGTGACTGTTGGTTTATTTCATAGGGCTACGTTCAAAGTGTAGATTTGCCACGCAGGCGCAATGAATTACAGGTAATAAAAAAACAAAAAAACAAAGCAAGCCGGACATCGGGACTGAATGGATTGTAAAACTTGCATTGTGTTTACTAAGCTTTGATTTGTGGACACCAGGACTTCCTTCATATATCTAAATTCAAGCCCTTGAAAACAAAACAAAATTATTGTTTGGGAATTATTTTGATCCAAACTGATTTATTTTTGGCGCTTCCCGTTGTTTAAACCTAACGGAGCCACAATTTAATAATCAACTCCACCGCATATTAATGGAGTCCTATACAATCATGAACGTTTATTTCCTGTACGTTCCTCTAACTGCACCCCCCGCATAACACCTCTTGTTTTTTTTTTCTTTTTTTTTTTTCACCTCCCACTTTGCTTACCTCCCTTCTTGGTTCATGCATTAATTGTTTGTAACTAGTTTTCTTTAGTTACCTGTAATGTTACTGTGTCACATGCTTTCTTCTGTTGGCTAAGGAAATGTCCTATCTTTGTTACATGTGTTCAAAAAAAAAAAAAGAAGGAATGTGTTGATTCAGTTTCTAAGTTTCCACTTCTCAGGGTTGTTTTTAGTTTGCTTTAGTGCAGGCCTGCACAACTCAAAATGTAAGGCGGACCGTTATACTTTATGAAAAACTTGTGTGGGCCAAAAGAAAATAGGACAAGGGGGAAAATAATAATAATAACGAATATTTCGTTACTTCCTGGGCCAAAAAGTGGGTGCTGGCGGGCCGTATGTTGCGCAGGCCTGCTTTAAAGTGTAAGGGAATTATATAATTATTTGAAACAAACAAAAAACAAAACTACAGATAATTATTCTTGACAAGAAGGAAAAGAGAATAAAGGGAATAAATATTTACTCTTGTCTTCTTTCAAACCACCTATTACTATAATAACAATACTAAAAGCAAGAGCTACCTTTTTGGGGTCTGGAATGGAGAGATATTTTAAAAAAATCCATTTTCAAAGTCATCAAAGATTTTTAAAGATAACTTTATTGAGATCTCTCAATTTTTGTCTGTTCTGTTTGTGATTTGTTTTAAGCTTTCTTGAGCATGCGTAGACCTATGGCTTAGCAGGTTTAGACTAGCATAGACAGACCAATAATTAAACAGCACAGCCACTGACTGCTTAGCTTTTTTGTTTTGGTACAGTGGTTGAGAGCTTCCTAGTTTGTCTCCTGGTGGGAAGACGCTGTAAGAAGACTAAAAATATTTTATAAAGATCAGTATAGCAAGGCAAGGTCATTTATCGGGTGCACCTATCGTCATGACATGAAAAACTGGCATATTTGTTCTATGGATTATGCTTTATTGGTACTGTAAGCAAAAGTTTATTGTCAAAAAAATTAAATAAAATATTTATTCAAAATTATTTTCTAATAGTCCCAATCCATTAAAACACCTACAAATTTTATATATTTTTAAATTTTTACAATTTCATTTTCGTTCAGTTCCTTGAAAATATTCATTTTCAATTTGAGCATTTCTCTTTTTTTCTTTAAAAACAAGAAGGAATTATTCCCTTTAATGTACTTAAATTTTCTTGTCACCTTTTAAGCTATCCCTACAACATAATAATAACATCCTGCCCAACCCAACTATACGCAAATTCGTTCCATCATTTTTTTTAACCATCAGTAATAAAATTTAAAGTCAACCCTGGATATTGTAACCTTCTATAATGTTTATTTAATGCTAATGTTCACTTCAATGAAAATCTTAAAAATAGAAATGCATCACAACAACAACAAAAAAGAGAGAAAAAAAACGGCAATGTAGTTTCTCTGTACACTCAAATTTATATTTTGAAAAAATTATTTTTTTCATATCTCAGTATGTTAATGTACTTAGGAACTTATATATTTTGAACTTGTTATTTTTAAAAGAAAAAGGGGGAAAGAAGGAAATTTCATAGTGGGTGGTAGTAACAACTAAATATAACATGTTTGTATTGATATTTTCTCCTTCTTTATCAAAGTAAATGCTCACTCTAAACATGTACCTGCTGGTGATATTGGTGTTAGATGTCTTCTCTGTTTTGGCACTCTTAGATCAACGAGGGAGAGAATGCAGATCTGGCCGTCTTTGCGTCACTTGAAGGGATCAGCATCTCCGTCATCAACTCCATGTACCAAGAGGTGGCACTGCTGTCGGTGGCCAGCTGCCCGGCTGTGTGGGAGGTCGAGGTCAAGGAGAAATGGAGGTCACTCAGTGTGGAGCTGGCCACATGGCTCGAGGACCAGTGGAAGGGAGAAGTTATCTCAGCCAGTCTGCATGATCAAATTGAGGTGAGGGTTGCCTATTATTGTCAATGTTCTTTCCTTATGGTCCGCAACAGTGGTGCTCATCCCTTCTTTCACTATGGTCTACAAATTAGGTTCTCAAGGAATCTTTCAAGAATTTTTTAACTTCCATATTAATTACCCAAAATATGAGTGTCATGTTCTAATGCAGTGATTCTCAACCTTCCTAATGCCGCGATCCCTTGATACAGTTCCTCAAGTTGGGGGCGACCCCGAAACACAAAATTATTTTTGTTGCTTCATCATAACTGTAGAGTATATGTGTTTTCCGATGGTCTTACGTGACCCCTGTGAAAAGGTCATTCAACCCCCAAAGGGGTCATGACCCACAGGTTGAGAACCGCTGCTCTAATGTAATCCAAAGATTTATTCCTCAGAAATATTAGATATTTTAAATATTTTGTTTATTTCTTTAAGTACAATCTTTTTTCCTTAACAATATCATTTTGTCCCGCCAGGCTGATCTTAGCAAAATGCAGATGACCAAGCCCTACATGGGGGCCCTGAGGCGAACATTTCACCCTGGTGTTTGGTGTCAGTACCGCAGCTCTAAGCACCATCTTGCAGTGAATGTCACCTTACAGACATTACAGGTAAAAAAAAAAAAGGGGGAAAACAAGTTCAACCGTTTTACTATATAATCATGACACATACAACAACTTGTACCAGAGATTAAGCCTCTATGGGTTTTTAAAAAATTTAAATTATGCTTTCTCCCTTCAGTCAAAGTTGTTAATAAATAGGCACGACATGCATGCTTGTTTCTTTTACAAGTGAATAAACTTGTAGTTTATCATGTTTGCTGTTTCAAAACAGATAGACAACCAGCTCCCCGAGGCGTACTACCCCACTGCCCTGTCACAGACCCCCATACCAACTTATGTGCTGAGACGCATGGGACCAAAGCCTTTCGTTGAGCTGGGGGTGATGAGACGCACAGTTCCAGAACAAAACATTGACACCATCAGGTGGGTGGGTGTTGATATCTCAGTCAACCACCGGTGCTGACTAAAGATGTGGGATAGAGGAAGAAAAAAATTTTAATTTCTAGAAATATATCAGTATCCCAAATCTTGTACGTTTCAGAAATGCAAAAATTTTTATACGTTTCAGATATGCAAAGATTCTTGTGCAAGAGTTTAATTTGAAACTGGACAAAGGTTTTATTCTGTCCCTCGTGGATGTCATTGGTCAGCTGACCCCTACAGTGAAAGAGGTGACTCGACATATCAGTGTCATTTGATGTGAACTTAAATTTCAGTGTTATTTCTTGTGTCATAAGTCAGTTGGTGTAACTGCAGTATTTGAAAACTGGCCCCCTTTACTGTAAATCACTATTACTAAACAAGGAACTAAAAAACATTTTTTTTTAAAATTTTTACCAACTTTCTGTTAAAACTAGGCCTAATAGTTATATCATTATATATTATCAGTCAACTTGCTACAACTCACCAAACAATCGTGGCCACAATGCATGAACTTCCCAATCTTCAAAAGCTACCTGACAAAACATGCTTTAAAGTGATCCACTTTATTAGAGTCCCAATTAGTTCCCTCCCCCCCATACGCCATCCGTCCTTCAACTATATTAATGTTCTAATGTCCTACCCCCCTTTTACACCACAGATTTATTACTCCAGCTATTGCTGTGAAAAATATATATATATATTACACACCAAATGCACTTCGATTGCTTTTAGTGAAATCAGTGCCATCTGGGAGCGTTAGTGACATTGTTTCATGGACAGTTATGCACTTTGATAAAGATTAAAAGTGGGGAAAACACTCTGAACAATGCTGGACTTTTTTTTAACTCTATTTAAATGGAGTTGATGCAGACTGTTCTAAATATATCTTCACATATTTACAATATTTGTAAATCAAGTGTCCCACCAATTTTGATGCACTGAATGACCCCTTTAGACTAAGCTGTGTAGCATTTTACTTAGTTTTCCACTAAACCAGATATATACAAGCATTTTATGTAATTTGTAGGTACATATTTTTTTTAAATCACCCATATGAATTTAATAGAAAGTTGGTAATAATTTTTAAAAATATGTCTTTTAATATTTGTTAAGGACTATAACGTTGCCAAACAAATTTTTAATCTTAGAATTTTCACTCTCTTCAACAGAGCTTCCAACTACAGTGTGATTTGTGTTTAGCCAGGCAGTCTTTGAAAGAAGCAACAGCCATATTGGTGAGATAAGAAAATATAAAAAAAGCCATATTGGTGAGATAAGAAAATATAACAAAAGCAATATTGGTGAGATAAGAAAATATAACAAAAGCCATATTTGTGAGATAAGAAAATATAACAAAAGCCATATTTGTGAGATAAAATATACAACAAAAGCCATATAGGTGAGATTAAACATGGAATGAAATTTCTCTTAAACACAGGAAACTAAACTGAAATAGTTTATCAACAAGAAGTAATAAATTTAAATTTGTTCCAACCAATTCATAGCTGCCTCCCTTGTTTAATCAAATTTAAAAGCTAAAGGATTTTATAGTTTTCTTTATTTAAGTATATAATCAAAATGTTATTGTGGAGCATTTAAAAACTAACAAAATGCTTGATAAAATGTAGAATTTTTGAGTTCACAAAATGCCTTTTATTTTATGTTACACCTATGACCTTTGCCATTTTTAAAACAAGTTTTTGTCTGCAGATTTCTTCCAGACCTCAGAAGATTTACTTTGAATACCTCCACCTCTCCCCACTCAAGGTCAGAACATTTTCAAAACCACAATCCATCATCCATTAAAACAAAGTCATACTCATGGCAAGAAGAGAATTAGATGCCTAAATGTTTTTTTCAGTAGAGCTCAAATCTACAAGGCCCTAAAACTCCAGGGTGTGCTGTCGAACCTTGTAACATAGAGATACCGGTAAACTAAAAATTATTTTCCTGCATGTCTATGATTATTATTGTTTCGGTAGAATATTTAATTCTGTTTTTTTTGTTGTTTTTTTTCATCTTCAGTTGCACCTGAGCTTCTCACTGAACGGCAAGGCCTACTTGGCGCCTGTCAATCATGTGCAGAACTCCAGTCTTAAAGGTGACATAGTGGACTTCTTCCTCAACTCTGTGGGCGTCACCTTGACAGAGATAAAAAATGTGGAGCTCAGGTCAGAATTTGTTGCTTTCAGGTCTTGTTTCAGTGGTAAATCAATGCATCTCTTCCATCTTAACATGGCTTGGAGACATTTTGTTTCAGTGATAAATCAATGCATCTCTTCCATCTTAACATGGCTTGAAGACATTTTGTTTGGAAAAAAATTTTTTTCTCAATTTTAAGTTATCTTGATTCTAAATAAAATAAATGAAGCTAAAATAGAGAAATTATAATTCTTATTTTGTCTTCAGCCCTTTTAAATGATTTTTTTTTTTCGTTGTCCTGTATTTAGGTTATATATAAAACTTAATGAATGTCCCCATAAGTTATTAAGGTTATATATTCAACTATTTGAGGTTCCCCAATGGTTAATGAGGTTATAGGTAAAACTATTGGAATTCCCCCCATTAGTTTGTACATAAAACCAATGTAAAAGCCTCTCTATTCATTATGTCATGTATACTCTAAGGATGGCCTACTTTGAGCGTAAAGGTGTGCTCCTGTCCAACAATCAGCTGATGGCCCAAGTTCAGTCCCACTACACACATCAGATGTTGCAGCAGGCCTACGTCCTTATCCTGGGTCTCGACGTCCTGGGCAACCCTTACGGTCTGGTCAAAGACTTCACTCAGGGTCTTGGCGACTTCTTCTATGAGCCATTTTTGGTAATAGGAATCGGGGACCCCGGTTTTTAAACAAGAATAGTTTGGTTTTTTTTAAAAGAAATGTGATAATTTAAGAGCTTTTCAAGAACCCTGAAATTGTTTCTATTTAAAGTAAGAAAAAAAGTTGGTGTCTTGGTAGACTAAAAGAAATTTACTTCAGTAAAAGAAAAGCATCAATTTCCATGAACTTATTCTGAGTTATAATTTCCTGCAGGGTTCAATCCAGGGAAGAGATGAATTCTCAGAGGGTCTTGCTCGGGGAGTAGAGAGCCTCATGGGAAACACAATAGGTAAGTTTATTTATTCAGCCATTTAGCTTTAGTTTACAATAATTCAAGGAAATAAAAAAAATAATAATAGTTATATCAAGAGTTATCTCTACATTTGTTTTAATCATCTCACTACACCAACACAGGTGGCACTGCTGGTTCAGTGGCTGGTATAGCTGGAGGCATTGGAAGAACACTGGCTGCACTCTCCTTTGATGATGATTACAAAAGGGTATGAAAACTTGTCTCCATTAGTTCTTTCTGTAAATAAAGGGTTAGATTTTGCAAATGGGTAAATTCTTGGATCTAAACATCATTTATTTTCAACCCAGTTTTAATGAAGAGTGCTTCACTATATTTCTTCCTAAAGATGAAAAATGAATTTTATTTATGGGCTACAACTATTAGTCTGATAAATTTTAAATTTTAACTGTAATTTTAGGCTGACAGTAACAAATGATAGATAATGAAACAATAACTTGTAACTTTAGAATAAATCCCATGACCTGGCAGTGATTGTGAATGTTATTTGCCCAACAGAAAAGACGCATGCGAATGCAACAAGAGCCGAGAGGCCTGCCGTCTAGTCTCGCTTTAGCTTCTAAAACACTTGTGTTGGGTGTTGGGCTTGGTTTATCTGGTGTTATACTCGACCCAATCAAAGGTAACCAACCATCTTTATGATATACTCTTAGTAATCATTATCTACCCAGTATATCATTACCTACCTTGTATATTATTATCTACCCAGTTCTGCGATATCATTATCTAACTAGTATATAATTAGCCACTGGGGCACTTATCACATTTTAACACATGAAAATGTCATAAGTGCTACAACTACTTTATTACATCACAAGTTGTTAAGTATTCATTTATTTTTATTTTTTTTTTTACATTTAAATACAAATTCTGTTTTAAAGAACTGAACTCTTTGGTTGTGAATGTTTAATTTGTGTCTTTGCTCCTGGCTCAGGTGCTCACGAGGATGGTGTGGAAGGCTTCTTCAAAGGAGTCGGGAAAGGTTTGCTGGGTCTACTTACCAAACCTACAGGTGGCATCGTGGACATGGTCAGCATGGCGTTTGATGGCCTCAGGAGGTAAGGAATTACCTCTAATAGGGAAGTAGTTGTTTACAGATTTGTTCCGGTGCAGAGAAATGGGAACCAATCGAATGGAGAATACAAATTAGAAACCTATCAAATAATATAAATTATATAATACCGTTATATATATATATATATATATATATATATATATATGTTAAATTAATCATAGAAGTTATAATGATTAATGATTGTTTGAACTGATCAAATTTGTATTTGAAATAAAAAAATTTAAACTGAGCTATGGCTAAAATAATTTAGATCTTTCATGACACAACATTTTTCCAATACATTGCACCTGTGCCCCTCTGACATAAAAAAAAAAAATTATGCAAAGCTGGTCACTGTATTTATTCTTTGTAAGTAGGTCATAAGTTGTAAAACATCATCTTTAAAAAAAAAAAATTTTAATACAATAATACTTCAGGGGTAACACGTTTGGTGTCACGTCTTAAAAATAATAAATGATGTCTTTGCGTCACTCTACCCTGCTCCTCCATGCTTTGCTTCAGATCTGCCGAGATCGAAGGTGGTGTTGTGGCCAGGGTGAGGTTGCCTCGTTTCATCAATCCACAAATTGTAAGTTTAAATGTGGTCCAATCTCTAAATATTTAAGAGCAAATTTTAGAAGTGTAACGGACTATGTTTTCACATGAAAACAGAGAGGTAGCATGAGTGAACAGTGAATTGTGTTGACCATGTATTTTGAGAGGACAATGTGAGCTCCAGCAAAAACCTCTCATTTTAATACAAAAACACAGAGCGGTTGTTTTCCACGCTTTGCTGGTAATAAAGTATGAGTTGACTGAGATAGTGAGAGCTGAGCGCAGAGCAGTAGAGAACAGTAGCGTGAGAGCTGTGTGATTAGACAGTTGAGCTGAGTTATAGTAGTGTGAGGACGTGTCTTTCTTAATGATGGAATACTATAGATATATATGTGAAATTACATTCATGCAAGGATTATTTATTAATATTATCAGTATAAAGTGTGTTCAATAAAGTACTGTAAGTTTAACCAGGATTCAGTATTCTTATTTGCGTGCCTGAAGTGGAAGAATGAAGAAGTCTTAGTCGGCATTCTGAATTACTAACTTAAAACAAGTAACCGTGCTACTGACATAACCCACAGCCTAAGAAATAAGTTACAATGATAATGATGTCAGAGCATAGATGTGTTACAAGAAGAAAAAAAATAATAATAGATCCGCTTATTTTTTATTTAAAAAAAAAATAGAAGTAGATGAATCATAATGCCATCATGGCTAAATCGCATAAAATGCCACTATGGCTGAATCACATACAATGCCACTATGGCTGAATCAAATTATCCATAGACAAAAAACAAACAAATTGATGCCATAAATGGGTACTGTAATGTCACTTTATTAAAGTTTTTCTTGATATTAAATTATTTTTTTTTAAATTTCACTTCAATTTGGCAATTTGTCTTCTCTTTGCTGTTTAAAACTGTAAATTTCTAGACTGCCTTTCTACAGCATAACAATGATATGAATCAACCTGATGTAACCACTATTTCTTTTTTTCCTTAGGGTCTACAACCATTTTCACCCCATAGAGCTGCAGGTCAAAGGTTGCTACAAAGTATCCTGAAGGGGGAGTTGTCCAAGACGGACATCTACTGGGCGCACATTCCTCTCAGTAAAGAAGAAAAAGCCAGTGTGGTGCTTATCACAGACAGGTAGAGAATTTTTCAGATACGGCACAAATATTTTGATACAATAGAAAATTATATATTTGTCTGATCCGTGCTTCGAAGGGATCCCTTAAGCCCTTAAGAAAAAAGTTTAGATTTTACTTCTCAAAGCTATCCCATTCACTTAGTTTTTTTTTTAATACAGATACTCAATTATCTGATCTTTTCCAAAACTGGGATTTCACTGTCCCTTTTCCGAAATACCCTTGAGTTCAAGAGTTCTTTTAATTTGGTACTGAAAATGTGTTTATTATGTGACTCCCTCAAATTAATTTTTTTTCATAAACGTATTTGTTCAAAATATTTCTTGTGACCATCTTAGAGTCTTGTGGTTTGTATCTCGAGACTTGTGATTTGTATCCCGAGACTTGTTGTTTGTATCTTGAGACTTGTGGTTATTGTGGTTTGTATCTCAACACTTTTGGTTTGTATCTCTTTCAGACAAACTTCTAAAATTATTCCATTTTTGCTTTGTTGTGTCAGGCATTTGCTGCTGCTAGAAAAGTGTCGTTTCTGGGGCAGCTGGGATGTAGACTGGAAAGTTTCCATTGACAGAATCCTCGGCGTACCTGCAATTAAGGATGACAAAATGATCTTCAAGATCAAAGAGGTAGGCGGAAAGCTGTGAACAACTCATCTCTATCAATACCAACATCTAGTGTTTTTTAGATTTGTCAAAAGTATTGCATGTCACAAAAAAAGGGTGTCAGCAGCTAATTCCACGTCCTACACGCAATGGGGACCTGTCACTCAATGGGGATCTATCACTCAATGGGGACCCATCACTTAACCGGGACTATCTCTCAATGGGGACCTATTTATTGATCTAGTTCTTATCTCTGACTCCAGGAACTTGATTATAATACTTTATATCCACAAATTAAAAAGAAGGTGTCAATTTTACAAGGTTTAGAATTTGAAATATCTGCCCGTTTCTACTATGTTAAAAATCAGGATTAATTTGACACAATTTGAGTAAATAAAACAATACTGTATAGGTAAGCTTTAATTGAAAGATAAAATATAATTCTGTATAACAAAAAAAAAAACACAAAGCAGATGAATCTAAATTAAATTTGACATAATAATATATATATGATATAAATATATATGTATTATCTACTTAACAGTTTTCGGGGTCCAACATTCTAAATATTAGTGAATCACAAATCATGAAAATTTTCCATTTTTTTAAAGGATGACTCTGGAGTGAACCTGTTTTCAAGTGGAGAAAAAGAAATTATCTGCCAGGAGGCTGACATTTTGGTATGGCTTCAAGACCAGATATCAAGAGTCATCAAGTACAACACACAGTAAAGATCCCTCACTTTGACCTGTTTCCGATCTGTGTGGTTTGCCAGTTCAACTGATGCAAATAATGAAGTGATATGAAGTGATATACAAAAAAAATATCCTTCCCTGATAGAATTATATTTTCATGAGACCAATAATAACGCATGACCTAAGACAATGCAATATTTCTTATGGACCAAGTTGATATTTTGAATCTATTTGTCTTCACCCTTTCTGCTTGAGCCACATAAGATTTTCACTTTTTAGGAGGAATCTGATAAAGTTTTTGAATTTATTTCATTATAATAGTTTTGAAATTTACAATAAACACTGTATTTAATGTAGTGTTAAAAAAAAAAAAAAGGAATCTGATAAAGTTTTTGAATTTATTTCATTATAATAGTTTGACATTTACAATAAACACTGTATTTAATGTAGTGTTCAAAAAAAAAAAAAAAAA